TGGCTGCATACCGTAAGAGGCCCCTCCTGTTGACAGGCCTGGTATAAATGAATGTTTTAAGAGTATTTCAGGATTAGAAATCACGTTCAACGTTTCATGAAGTTTTTTACAGGTGTTTTTAATTAGATGGATATAAATTTACATGCACAATTTTATATGTATTTATACGAGCTAGAATGCAAAAATTTGCTTAGGTTTTCAGTTTGGAAGATTATTATAACGTTTCAAACTTAAATTTTACATATTTTGTTGTTAAATTTTAGTTTAAAGCTTTATTAAGTGATACCTTTCGTTATACACTTCATTAATTTTTTTATAGAAAAAGTACGATCTACTAGTGTAAAAGCTACGAGTTGTTTCATTGTAGTGTTCTTTTAGCGTATATATGTTATAACTATATAGTAAATGTTAAACGTTTATGTCAAATCTTTTTCGAGAAATGTAGAGCTTATTTACATATTTATGTATGCCTAAAATTGCGTATGTGAAATAAATTTTTTCTTATATTTATCTATTCAAAAACATCTGTGGAAAGGCCCATAAAACACTGGATGTGATTCCTAGTATTAAAATAGGTACATTATTTCAACGTTTTATATAACTATAATGGAAAGGTACGTAAATTTTGTTGCCTTGATTGATATGATCTTCACATCCATGTCTCCTTTATTAATTTACGTAGACGATGATCTTTTATATTTGTAGTATAATGCTGTAATGTAAAATAATAAATCTTCACCAACATTTATTTGTCATAACTTAAGGAGGAATTCAATTTCTTGAAAAAATAATATGTGCAATCATACCATGAAGCATTGAAAAAGCATTTGAAATAAAATGTAATATCATTTTTTATACTTATTGTATTTGATATAATTATTAATAACTAAGGAGGTATAAAAGTAATAATTTTTAAATGCATTGTAATGATAATTTGTATTATATGTTTTATTATATTTTTTCTTGTAAAAATCAAATAAAAATTGTTTAAAAATTACTGTAAAACAACAATGTACTTTAATATAATTGTAACTATACGTAGAAGAATGCAATATTGTTTGTTAAAACTATATTATTATTGAAAGGACATTTTATTAATGTATACTATAAGTATATTGCCACATATCCTATTTGTCTTTATGAAAAGAACTGTATTATTTGTATCTAAATTAGATTTCATATCAATTGATGTCTCCAATATGAAAACAACTCTGCTGTAAATGTTACTACTTTCATGTGTATAAATGTATTCTGGTATCAGCTGTCAAGTAGAACGTAATTGATAAATTTAATAATCTTTTTCCAATTATACGCACGTTAACTATTTCTCTAATTGTAGTCGCTGCACGTCACCAAACTTTGAGACACGTTATTCCAGTTTTCTTTCGAACTCCAGTTGAGCACACATTGGAAACTAATTGCAAAGAAGTGGGATACGTTTATAAGGAAAAGGAGAGGTTTTGTGTCGGTAGGCGGGGAGTAGGCATGTATGATATAAGTATCATCGAGTAGGAGATCAGAATTTGAATAGTCTGTGTTTGGTAGTATTGAAAATTACAGCCATGAAGAACGACGAACTTGGACAGGATGCAGAAAAAGGATCAACGAAAATGCCAGGTAAATTGTTTACCTTTCTGCGTTGAATTGTTTTGTGAACGGTTACAAATAAAAATTTTTGTACGGTTTTTATTTAATTAAACAAGTCTATTATTGTAAAGCAATAAAAGTATTGACACTATGTACTTAAAGTAATATTAATAATCTACAATTAATACTATATGTTCATGATGTGTATAATCTGGAGTAAGATATTACTTCGCAGTAAAGTAAATATATTCCTTAATAAAATAGATGTATTTTATAATAACCACAAAACAACAATAGAAACGATGACGGTAACAATAGCAACAACAACAATATATTGCACATGTTCGAAAACCGATTATTATTTAAATAAGTTTTAATTATCAAGTGAGCGAAAATTTTACATCGCTATTCTATAAATTTTGTATTATGAAAGTTTTTTCTATGTATGTATGTCATGTAAGCATACATAAAGTGTTTTCAATCAAAAATTTTAAAAATTATTTACTTTACAGA